TGGACCCACCTCATATATCTATAGTTTATATATGTCTCATCATCATCATGTTATGACAGAGAATATTACAAATTATTGCACTGGGGCATTAATTTAGCCCATGGCATACAATTTAAAACACTTGAGAAAAGGAAATCATGTGAGCATAGTCTGGCTCTTTAGAGTGTTGCCCATGAATTGTTTGATTTGTATCGGTTAAAATCTTAAGTGACTGGATATTATTTACATAAACGATGGAGGTTGGTGATAAGACAAAATTTCAGTCACACTCATTCCCAAAGGAGAACCATGCCTACCAGACTAGTGCAGGTCACGGAAAGCAAGAAGAGCGGTAAACGAGCAAGTGTCTGGCAGTCGCAGGCACCAGGCACCGGGAACACTCCTGTATTATTAGCAAGACCGACTTGGAGAGCCCTGGTGGTACGACAGCTAAGTACTGCTGCTAACCAAGAGAACAGCGAAATAGTCGGTCAAGAAAACTGTATAGCACAGGTCTACCTTGTCATCTGAGGTCACCAGAAGTCAGAATCAACTCAAGGGCACTCAACAGTAAGAACACTGACAACATAAGGACTCCCACCCACTGCCATGGGGCCAGTTCCCATCACAGCTGAGGCAAGCACCCCCACGCCATGCTAACAAGGACTTCAAAACCACAGTGAGGAGACGGTTCATGGATCATAGGATTCCCTGAGCCCAATTGTGTTTTCCTATTGATAGGAGACAGTCATAAAAATATTCCCAATGTTTTTTTTTCTCATGTGTGTGGTGGTGGGGTTGTTGTTGTTGTAATCGTGCATTTGGGGAGGAACATCAGTCTCTTATCAAGCTCTGTAGATGGATTAATTGAACTTCCAATCTTAAATCTATTCTATATTATAGAATCCCTGCACTCCAACTCCGTATTCACTGTCTATAGCTACGTTTCCCTGCCTCATTACCTATGCAGGTCTCCTTCTGCTCAGGCAGAATGCACTCTGTGATAGTTAGGTTTTGTGTTAACTTAACTGGGTCAGGATTCTTCCATGATGTGATTAAATATAATGCAATCAGTTCTCTAATGGGATCTTCGGAGAGAATTCAAGCAGTTCTGGGAAGGTTAGCGTGAAGGGCTGCAATTGACTGGCAGCTTCCTCGGCGCTGTGGCTATTCCTATTGAAGGGGGCTCTGTGAGAAGTTATCTCCCTTTGTCTTGCTGGGGGTGGATTTTGCATCTGTCTCCTTGAATTCTGGTTCTTTGGTCTTGAGCCAAAAGCTTACTATTTTGCCCACTGACTCTGAATGCCATCAGTGGCCTGCAACAACGCCTATTGACCTTGGATTCATTTGACTCTGTTACCAAGAGTCTGAACTGTTGACCTTGGATTCATCCACCTCAGCCTCTACCTGTCCATGGTCCTCCGGCCTTCTGGCTCATCATCTTGTTCACTGGTTCACTAGCCCCAGCAGCTATGTGAGTCAGGAAAATCCCCTAGTTTAACAGCTGAACAGCTGACCCACAGATTTGCAGCTGAACAGCTGACCCACAGACTTGCACGAGAGGACTTCCCTGCTTCTAAGGCTGTGTGAGCCATTTGCTTGATGTAGATTTCTTTATTCAAATCGTTGGTTTTGCTTTTCTAAAGAACTCGGGTGAATATCAGCTCCCATCCCCTTCTCCATTCACCATTGTACCACAGACATTTCTAGTCCAACTCAAGCTCTCTTCCTGGTGAAGAATTTTGCCAGCCAACTGATCAAAAGTGACCTCACCTTCCTCTCAGCTCACATACACAATCTTCTGCCAAACTTATTTGATCTAGAAGTATCTAGGGGCATTTCCTGGTTACAATGATAAATATCACACTTAGGAGCTTATAACTAGGTGAGGGTAGGAAGAATTTAGTTTAAACCTATGTTTTCTTCTCAAAATTGAACTGTAAAGTTTCAGTGTATAGCTGACATCTGTTACAAATGATTATCTCCTAAGCAGTACAAAAAAGTTACCTAATCCATGCCATAACTGAAGTATTTCTTCAATACCACCTTTCCCAATGATTTTCTGAGAACATATATCTTATTAGAAAGTTATAGTCTATCATTTTGTTGTATGTCTATACTCCCAACATCAAGTTGATCAAAATATTTTGGTAATGAGTGCCTGTTCAAATTGTTGTTGATAATACAATATTTTAGGTTTCATAAATTAGTCTGTATCTAAGATATCCCAAAGACTCATTCTTAAACCTGTTGTTTCTAAGCCTGCTCTGCAGCTTCTATGAGCCTTCACAAGAACTTGTGAATGCTGCAAGATTTGCAGCAAGTGAAGACATATCTGCCTATCTTTGGGCATTGAAGTGGTCAGAACACAGTGCTAAGAACAATGCCACACAGCACCACCTCATCACCACTTTCTAGATTTTTCTAGTAAAGGGACTAGGACTTACTTTAAACCCATGAAACAGAACCAATTCACTGCTTATTTTAACCAAATTTTTAAAGACAAAATAAAACATCAAATATAAAACCCATTGGATTCTTTAGCCTCTTTTCTCATACTGTTGGTCTACCAAGGTCAAATGGCATTTTGCCCAAAAATCTGGTTAATGGAGGGGAAACAAATCTAATATATAGTCCATAAACAACATAGCAAACGCTGAATAAAAGGGATTATCACAAATAAGCGAAAGCTCACTCTCTGCTGATGACCTTCCTCTTTTCCTTTTGGACAAGCCTAACTTTTCCCTTAATAATCCAAGCAGTAAGGAGGACCCAGCCAAGCTGTGTACACATGAGTGAAACATAATGCTTTCACTGAAAGCCCAGGTCGGGATCAGAAAGTTGGACAACGGCTCTTACCTCGGAGTTCGCCCATATCCAGGGTTGTCCCGAGTTGTTCTAATAGGGCAACTCTCGCTGCATTCTTTTTGTGTTTCTTGCCGTCATAGTGTTGCTGCGCCATCAGAGGATTGTTAAACCAGGCTGCACAGAGCCCACAATATCTGTCGGAGTCTCTTCTTTGATAAGGGGATGCGACCACTGGTGCAGCGTCCACTCGAGGGGGCTTAAGGGAGCTCAGGGGTGTTGCTGTGAAGGAAAACAACCAGAGAGAACCACGGCCACATTAGTCCACAACCGAATGCAATCTCTTCAATCGCTCAAGCTGAACGATCTCCAGGAATCTAACGCTGAAAGAACCCCAAGTTCACTCTAGAGCCCCGAAGTCCAGAATAGCGTAATGAGCACAGGACAAGTCTTTTCGTTAGTCTTCATTTCTGCAGTTGGGACAAAACTACAACTTTGTAACTTATGGAGCTTGGCATGTTGCTCATCGTTAGGTCTAAATTTTATAGCTCAAGAGACCAGACCTTAGGAGAAAATAGGAGGTTAACTTAATAAACTCTTGGGAATAAAAGAGTTACCAATTAATCAAGTTGAAGCTGGTTCATGAAAGAAACGCTGAGGAATCATAACGGAAAAGATTCTGATTTAGTGACTGGAACATGTGTGTGCTATACAGGGAAATAAGGAACAAAGAAAGGATTTGCCTACATTCCAAGAGGCAAATCTCTCAGAGGCATGGCAAACACCAACAGAACAAATCACACTGCTTTGGTTTTCAATTACTTCTGTTTACTGTTGTAGTCTATTTTGAACCTACACCTATTAAAATGGAAACTGAAACATATGTGTGTGTGTGTGTCTGGAAAAAGACTACAGAATAGACGCTGCTTATCTAAACTGTCATATTGTATATTCCATTATGCGATTACAGTTCATTCTGGTCCTTGCCAAGTGGGGTGTGGACCCTAAGGTGAAGGAGTTTACTTGTGTAAAATACAAATAACTTATGTATAGAGAGAGACATCCAAACATCTTTCATGCTTACAAAAATGATGAGACTTGAATTATTGTCCTATTTCTCTGATGATGCATCTCAGAGATGCCATATCCCTGGTTTAAGGTGAGCTACCTAGTGATGAAAAAGCAGGACCTAAAAACCAAACTTTTTATTTCCAAGGCTAGCATTCTTTCCAGTAGTTCCAAGGACTCATCATATAGTTATTAATAAACAGAGTTTTTTCTTTTTCTTTCTAGACCTCACTTAGCTTTGCACTTTATACATAATTGAATTTCGGTATGAAAAAATATATTCTGACCTAATGCTTTTGAGAGAAAAAAAAAACACCATTACAATGTCCCCGTGGTCTATTCATCACAATCTAGTATATAGCACCTTTAGTTTGTTGTTTTGTCATTGAGACAAGATGCAGCTGGGAAAAAAAGAAAAACAAACATGAAATAAGGTTGCTCTAAGAAAAACCTGAGATTTTAGGGCTCAGTAAAATAAGTCACTTAATCATCTCCCCAAGATTCAATGATAGTTGCAACAGAATTTTATTTTTAGAATAAATAATTGACACAATACAGACACAAATACTTGCTAAAATGATATAAAATCAAAGACTCACAACTGGACTAATAGACAATATCTTGATACACAGAGAAAAGATTGAAGATGTCAATCTTTTCATTTTATTTGGCTTTACAATCAATGCCCAAGAAAACAGCAGTTAAGGAATAAAAGCACTTATTCTACTGAGCAAATGTGCTGCATATGACCTCTTTAAAGTATTAAGGAGCAAGGATGTCACTGTGAGAACTAAGGTGTACCTGGCCTGTCTTGTTTTTTTTTCATCACCACATATGCATGTGAAAATTGGACAACAAATAAGGCAGATTGCATGTGATATGCGGGGTTGGCAAAGAACACTGAAAGTACCATGGGCTGCGAGAAGAACAAACTCTCTGATGGAGAAAATACAGCCAGAAGGTTCCTTACAAGCAATGGTAAAACCTCACATACTCAGACCTGTTAGTAGGAGAGACGGGGCCCTGGAAAAGGAAATAGTGCTTGGCAACATCAGCAAAAATGAGGAAGATCCTCCAGGAGGTGGATGGATGCAGTGGGTCCAACAATGGGCTCAAACACCGCAATTGTGAGGGCGGTATAGGACCTGGCAGTGTTTCATTCTCTTGTGCATTGGATAGATATGAATCAGAACCGACTCAATAGCATCTCACAACAACAACAACATGGCATCTTAACTCAAAATATGTCTGCGTCTCGTGAAAATATCCCGAGGACATCATTTTCCCCTCATCACAGAGATCCCGTCGCACGGGGAAGATTTCGTTTGGATGCTGTTTCATAGTGTTATTCCTACAGGAACTGAAAGGAGGAACACACTTCCCCAAAGCTTCATCGCAGATTGAGTTGTACACAACTATCTGAAATTAAGCTCAAGTCCGAGCCACAGGATCCCAATAGTTTCCCAGCATTCGATTGCTATGACTTAGAGATGCAAATCGTAGCTACAGATCCGCAGACGACCTGTGTGAGAAATAACCTCTACCCACTCTTCTAAAAAACAAAATGAATCTTGTTTCCAACGTTTTCTGCTCCCTTATCAATTTACAAGGTTTTATAGCCACCTATTGTTTTTGATGACAATGGAAGACATATCAAATGTTCGTGATCTGAATAAACCGTGACTCCTAAAGCATAATTTACTTTTCTCTAAACTGTGTGCTAATAAAACCTCACAAAAGACATTTCAGAGATGGTTTTATCAATTGATACCTCTGCACCACATTCTGGCAGGAGGGATGCAAATAGAAGATTCATCAAATAAGATAATTTTATCTGGCATCAAAGAAGGTCGTTTGACTGAATCTGTACTGCATCCCGCTTTCCTAAATAATTCTATTTTTTGTACAGCTTCAAGAGTTTTATATTTCTTTTACCTCTGCTTCCGTCTTCACCAATTTCAACCTGGATTGTTTGCCTTCACAGACGTGAAGGCTTTACATGAAAGCAATGAACAGCGCCGGAAATCAAAGTCAGCAATCTGATTTCATTGACTTCCACCACAAACAAATTGTGTGACTTTGTAATACATTCCCACAAGGTTAAAATGCAAAATCACTAATCTTTTTAAACTGACATTTTTTTTCATTTAAAGCATATCGCTCCATAATGATGGAACAAATTGTTGAATGGCTCTCCGTTTTATGCCTCTGACTGAACACCACATATTAGGTTTCTTATTGGGAAGAGCCAAGACTATGCCCAGGCATTTGACTGTGTGGATCACAACACACTATGGAATGGGAATTCTAGAACACTGCACTGTGCTCATGTGGAACTTGTATGTAGATCAAGAGGAAGTTGTGAGAACTGAACAAGGGAATATGGTATGGTTTAATATCAGGAAAGGTACGTGTTGAGGTTGTATCCTCTCACCATACTTATTCAATCTGTATGCTACGCAAATAATCAGAGAAGCTGGATTATGTTAAGAAGAATTTGGCATCTGAATTGGAGGGAAATTTATTAATAACTTGAGATATGCAGATGATACCACCTTGCTTGCTGAAAGTGAGGAGACTCAAAGCACGTGCTGCTGAAGATCAAGAATTGCAGCCTTCAATATGGATTACAACTCAATGTAAAGAAGACACAAATACTAACCACTGGGCCAATAGGTAACATCATAATAAATATAGAAACGTTTCAAGTTGTCAAGGATTTCATTTTGCTTGGAACCACAATCAATGCTCTTGAAAGTAGCAATAAAGAGATCAAACGATGCATTATATCAGATAAATCTACTAGAACTCTTTACAGTGTTGAAAAGTACAGATGATACTTTGAGGACTGAGGTCTGTCTGGTTTGATCCAAGTCATGATATTTTAAATTTCTTCATATGCATGTGGAACCTGCACCTTGAAGAAGGAAGATTGAAAAGAAATAGATGCATTTGAATTATGGCATTGGCAAAGAAGATGGAAAGGACCGTGGACTGACAAAAGAACAAACGGATCTCTCTTGTCTGAAGCTTCCCCAGAATGCTTCTGAGAGCAAGGTCAGGTACTTTGAACATGTTGGCAGGAGAGGCCAGGCCCTGGGGAAGGACATCATGCTTGGTAAAGTGTAGGGGCAGCAACAAAGAAGAGAGCCTTTGAAAAAATGGACTGGCACGGTGGCCACAACAATGGGCTCAAATGGAAGAACAGTTATGAGGCTGGTGCAGGACTGAGTGGTGTCTGTTCGGTTCTAAAAGGATGGGCTGAGTTGGAATCACTATGAGCTGCAACTGACTCAGTATTACCTCACAACAACCCGGGGAAGAGCATTTCAAGGTTTCACTGCTACATTCATGGCGGTACTTAGACCATCAAACCTATATTTCTTTGGCAAATGTGTACTATTCTAACAAAATTAATAAAAAGTTGATGGAAGGTTATCATTTGGTTAAAATTATGCTTTTAAGAAAGTTCTTAATTGGTATGTTGCTAATTTTTCTTTTTATGCTTTATGTTTTCACTACAATTTTAAAATAGACACTGGCGTTATGTCCTTATGTTCAACTTGAAATCAAGAGTTAATATATGAGCGGTTTTTGAACTTGACTAAACATTAGAATCATACAGGAGTTTTATAAAGGCCTGTGCCTATCCCAGCTGTGGTCAGAACACTGGATCAAAATCTTTGGAGTGAGAATCAAACATTAAGCCTTTTAAAAGTGTTTTCCTTCTACCTGTACCTCCACCCACGACTCCAAACTACCACCAATATCGATGGCCAGTGAACTAAATACTACCAGATTTTTGTTTGAAAAAGACAATAAAATAGAGTCTTCTTAGGTAGTCATGTAGAATCAAGTCTTTTATTCAGCACCAATGGAATTAGTTTTCCTGTTGGTGATAATCAGAATGTCACATATTTACCATGAGTCAAAAAAAACAATTGCTTGAATTATCTTTTGCAAACTCCCATCAAGTTTGCCATCTCATTAGACATAAAAGGTCTACTCTAAAAAGACAGCTTATGGAATAAAATAATATTGGTAAAATTGAATAGCCATTGTGAATCCTTTTCTCCATCCAGATATCCAAATGAAATATAAGGAAACTTTTAAAAGTTCATGGGGAAATGGAGTTAAAAGAAAATAGAACATATCCACAAACTTTTTGAAGCTGCCTTATCAATCATGTGGTACTGAGATGTTCTATCATCCATCTCTGGTTGATCCTTTTACCCTGTTCCATTTGATGCTCTCTATCATGCCACCCCATATAACAAAACTAAATACCAGGCCTTCAGAGTCTTCTCAATTTAGTAATATATTTGAGACCTTGAAAATCCAAGTAAAAACATACTTCTCCCTCCTCTAAACTCACAATTCATTTGGCATTTTTATAATGTCTGATATACTTGGTTATGTGAATGTGTGTGTGTGTGTGTGTGTGTGTGTGAAAAGTTAAGATTATAAGTCTCTACTAGATATCCTTCTGTTTTGTGTTTCCTCAGAAGCATATCACAATCACTTATCTTTGATTCAGAAAATCCAAATACCCCTGAAACCCAAAAGTTTCTTCACAATTTTTTTGTCACATCTGAATTGGCAAGAACCTATTTGTAGTTTTCATATACTATATCTTTATGGTATATTTGGCTCTATAATCCTAAAATTTCTAAATTTCAAAATGAATGAGTTTCCCAAATATTTTGAATAATAGTTCATGGATCTGTAGTCAGTTCAGTGTAATTAATATAAATCTTGCTTTCATAAAACCATCTGATGCTGGAATATACTTGTTTCTTTCTGGCAGAGTAACAGATTTAAGAACAAAAGTATTTCTAAGGCAGCCTGCGAGTGCCTCTATCAGAACACTGGCTCACTCTTCAACTATAACATTGTTTACCACCAGACTCTATGAGACAAACACCTGGTACCATCACAGTGTGTAGTCCATGCCTTTTGTTGTATAAACTAATGCATGGATGAACAAAGATCTTTGAATTAATTAGTAGGAAGTAGAACAAGCTGGTAATAAACACTAAGTTTATTTATTTCTCCTAAATTATGTTATTTAGGCCTTGGATAGCTAGGTGCTGTACCAGTCAATATAAACATAAACAGTTAAGGGGCAAGATCCTGGCAGGGTAAAGACTAAATTATGGAAAGCAACATGTTCTTATCTCCCTCCCTTTACATTTCACTGGATGTACTAAAAGCCACTGCTTTGTTCCTAGGCTGTCATGTCCTATTTCTATAAGGTTTCAGAAAGCCAAAATCATTTTGGTAACTTCACGTTCAAACAGGAAGCTATTAATTCTTGTTTTCTTATTATAGTAGCCAGCTCCTCACTTCCGTTTCTTGGATGGTGCCAACAAGGCTTTGAACCAGTTCATCCTGGTTCAACCCTGTAAAAAAAAACTTACTACATTTGGCGGGAGGCAGAGAGTCATCAGTAGCAGCAGCTGGTTCCTAAGAGACTGAGATCAGACACGCCTTCATTCGCCAATAATTCTTACCAAATCTGACACCAGCTGTCCCACCTACAATCCTCTCTACATCTCAGCTGGGTTCAAGAATTCATTACAATGGCCATACAGAACTCCACCCAGACTCATAATTATGTGGTTTCTTAAGAATGTAACAGGTTACAATTTAGGATAAAAAATACTGAGAATATAGTTTTTCTGGCGAGTACACCCTCTTCTTTGAATGTCCAAAGGCAGTCCTATATACAGTTCTTAGCCTCTCAGCTATAAGGTTTCTTGGCTCTGCCCTATTCCATAAATGTTACAAAGTTCTTTTATCTTTTTAAAAATAAATACTCAGAGGGCACTCCACTCCAACATAAGCTGAAGGCATTAAGCTCTACAGTAGAACCCAGGGCCTCAGCATTAATTGATTCTAGAAGGAGTGTCAAGATGCGATGCAGTCAAGTTCTGAATCAAATTTTCCATAAGAAATAACTGAAAACGGATTAATCCATTCTCAACCACCAAGTTTTTAGCCTAACCTTGCCTTTTGATGCAAAACATTACACAGAACTTTCAAAATAAATAAGTTCAGAGTTAAATAATATAATTTAAATAAGAAATATGACATTAAAAAAGTTTCTTAACAACTACAATATGGCCCATACCTTGAGACTGATGAGGATCTGGATCTGTGGACAAGATGTGGAGAGGAGGTGTGAAGAGAGAGTCATTGTTTGGAAGGGGAATCCCCTTCCCTAAAATCAACTGGTAGCTGCTTTTCAGGGTTTTTGGTTTTTTTCCCCTTCTTTGCCTTTTTTTACTAGGACCTGGCTGGCTTTCTCTTAAAAAAAAAAAAAAAAAAGATATCTGTCTAATGTGATCTGTTTTTGGTGTTTCCTTAACTGTTTTCTAAAAGGATTTACTAATTATCATCAACAATGTAAATAACATGATTAACCAGTTCCTTATCATGATGATTCTTTTCAAAAAATGCTTTCTTAGGACCCATGTGAGGTAGTTAGTTTATTGTGGCAACCTGGCCGATAAACACATGTGGGGTTAATTGAAGAGCAGAGTGACAACTGGCTCAGTGAGCCTCACCTTTCGAGTTCTCAGGTCTCTTGCTTTGTGATGGTCAGAACAGGGAGCAGGTGCCTTAGCCAGTTCCCTGCTTCAGCTGGCAAGGCTGACTTCCTGCAAGACATCCCCCAGGAGAAGCCGCATGGACCTACCCCGATGCAGCCCTGGGTGCTGGAGCAGTCGTGTGGAGACCCCTGCCAGCGTTGAGATGCTTACACATCCACTGACTCGGCTTTCCTCCTGCAGTCAGCGTCATAGTGTGTGTTTTGTGAGATTGAGGAGGACTTTGTGGATTGGTGTAGGACATATGGGTTAATGTTGGACTTGTGGACTTGGGCAGCACTGGGTTGGGATGTTTTCTTGATGTGCACTCGCCCTTTATATAAAACTCTCTCTTATACATATGAGTTTCTGTGGATTTGTTTCTTTCTCTAAAATACCCAGACTAATACACCATGTTTTTTTGTCTTAAAACAGTACAAAAAGCAACAAAAACGAAGAAAATTACGTACAGCAAAACACTTGGAACACAGCCGAAAAGGTTTAAACAACGCCTACTAACAATGGCAACTAAAGGCAAGTGACTGAAACACTAAGTGTGTTTGTTTACAAAAATCACTTGAGTCGGGTCATGTTCTGATGTTTTGTTCAAGCTCTGATGCAAAATTTTCTCGACATTGCATGTTGAAATCTGATTATGTCGAGTACTGATGCAGTCGATACTGGGGGTCTACTGTAGTTCCATATGAGTCAGAAAGCCCAACTCTCCCAATGAAGCGCCTGGAGCCTCCTGCCAAAGGCATTAAGCTGTACACTTCACACCTGCTCTGCTGACCAAGAAGCTAAGCACTCTGTTCAGTGTTCTGGCTCTGCGGCTGCCATTTCTCTGGAATCACAACTTTCTGTTCCTGGATTAAAGAGGTTCAATATGCAGGGATCTCCGGGTCCAGAGAAGGGACACTACCATTGCTTTTTTTCTCTTAATGGTAGTGAGAGACCCTCCTCCTGCTTCTGAGACGGCCTCTCCACCCATCTTCTCTTACTGATAGGGAAAAAAAGAGGGAATAAACCCAGTCATGCGGTACACTTACAAAGACTCCATCCACCTAGAAGAGGCATGCCACACTACAGGCACCATTCTGGGAATTTCTATTCCACTCCGGTATCCTAAATCAGAATCTACCTTTTAAAAAAATTCCCAGGTGATTCTATCAATCTCCAACAGTTCAATTTGCCATATGATTTAAGGTTTTCAATGCTACAGCAGCAAAATCTGGGAGCACGTTGTTTACACTGGTTTCTGGGGATATAACCCATAGAACATCACCTTGGGGTTATCTGGAACCGAAATCACTACCATCAAGGTATTCTTTGACTCACAACAACTCTCTGGGACCGACTATAACCACCCCTGTGGGTTCCAAGGCTGTACAAATAGCCGGATCTTTCTCCTTTAGAGTGTCTGGCGGGTTTCAATTATGGACCTTGCAGTTAGCAGCCGAATACATAACTCAACTTGGTAATACGTCTTAGGAAAAAAAGTTGGAAATAATTAAATCAGGGAGTTAGGGTACTTGCTTAAACCCAAGCACCCAGGATCTAGTAATAGCTTTCAATGCTTTCTTCATTAGGTGATCAAGTGGGAGCGCCTTGCCAGACAAGAAGGTAACACAGCTGGCAATGGGTGTCTTCCCCGCCTTCCCACCATTAGGACCACAGCCACAAATGCCCTTTAACTCCCAAATAGGAGCCTCTTAGTGACAGCCTGTAAAGCTTGCCATGTACCATCTATTTTGATTCCTTCTATCCTTTCTCCCAGTTTCTCTCCTTACATTTTTCTAATGCTTTAGGATAACAAAAATGAGCCCATTTGGAGTGTTTTTATTTTTATTTTTAATTAAAAAATCATTCTATTAAAAGGACCTACATGTGACCTCCTCCCTGGGGGACAGACAACAGAAAAGTGGATGAAGGGAGACATCGGACAGGGCAAGATATGAAAAAATAACTTATAAATTATCAAGGGCTCATGAGGGAGGGGGGAGCAGGGAGGGAGGAGAAAAAATGAGGACCTGATGCCAGGGGCTTAAGTGGAGAGCAAATGTTTTCAGAATGATGAGGGCAATGAATATACAAATGTGCTTTACACAATTGATGTTTGTATGGATTGTGATAAGAGTTGTATGAGCCCCTAATAAAACGATTAAAAAAACTGAAATATTAAAAAAAATAAAGCTTTAGAGCTATTATAACATTCCACAGTTCAATCATTTCACGTAGTATTATACAATTGCTACCACAGTCAGTTTCAAAACATTTTCTTTCTTCTTGAACTCCTAGATATTAGCTCCCCTTTATCCCCACCCTCCCCACAAGGAAACTTTATTTTTTTGCCCTAATACCATCCAATATATCAATTCACACACAATTCTGTTGTTTGCTCCCTTCCAGTGGGGTTATTCAGTCATCAGTGCTACCAGCTGTCCCCCCACCCCACCTCACTTCTTTTTCCCTCAGGGAACCATTACTCTTGTTAAAGTTTCTTAAGGGTTATCTATCTTGGCTTATATTAATCAAACAATTTTAATTATACAAATGAGCATAAAGCCAGTCTAACATGATTAATAAGGTAAAACAAACAAAAACCATAATAGTAAGGGGAGGTAATATTAAAGAACTGGAGGAGAGTTAATATGTTTCATCAGTGCTATAGCACACCCTGGATTTATCATCCCTTCTGTGTGGCCCTTCTGAGGATTGTCCAATTATCTTTCAGGTGGGTTTTGGGTCTCCACTACATCCCTACCCCTTCACATCAATTTGGTTGCTTGTTTCAACACCTCACGATAATAATGTAGCATTGCATGATACTCACCTTCCTGACACAATCACTGAAGGCAAAATGGATGCACACGCTAATGGGGTAAAGAAAACTGATGGTGCCAGGCTATTAAAAGATATAGTGTTTGGGGTCTTAAAGGCCTGAAGGTAAACAAGTGGCCCTCTAGTTCTGAAGCAACAAAGCCCCATAGAAGAAGCACACCAGGCTGTGCGATCATGAGGTGGTGTGCGACTTAAAATAGAAAAATCGTGCTAAGAATTTGTGTTATGGCTGGTTGAATAGAGAAATAAATCCAGTTGTGCTCACATATGTATAAGAACGAGCTTTACAGCAAGACGTAATTACATATCAAGAAGCCTGGCAGCCGAGTCCAACTCAAGTCCATGAGTCCATAAGCCCCTCTTCAGAGT